CACACTTCCCTCTCCTGCCCTGTGTCAGGAAGTGCTGAGACCAGGTGCCCTGTCATCGACCTCAGGGACTGAGCTCACACACCGACCTTTCCATGAGGTCATGGGCCCAGCCTCAGCCCCAGTCCTGCCCTGGCCTCCCCTTGACCCCAGCCCAAACCTGCCGCACCCAAGATGCTCCCTCCTCACCCCAACTGCCCCTCTGCCCAGAGCCCATGCCCCCAAAGGATGATGGAGGTTAAGGCACCCCCTTCAGAGGCCCCTCTGCTTAGCGACAGGTTAGCAACGGGCAGAGCAGGAACTGTTGCAGACAGTAGGCCAATGTCCATACCAACAGAGAGGCCACTTCCTGCCCAAGGGACTGGGCAGAGAGCGCCTGTGATGTGTGCAGAAAACTGCCCACTGGGACCCAGAAGGGTGGGCTTTGAGTCCCAGTCTCAGCAGACTGCCAGGTGGGCTGGTCCTCCCTGCCCCCTCCAGCCTCAGTTTCCCTTGTGGAACAGGGATCAGAATTGCCCCCTGCCTGCCTGCGCAGGCCTCTGGGCACTTGGAGCGGAGCCCCTGACCACGTGTCCATCCTCCCCGACTGCTGACAGTTGGTGTGTTGCTTATAGCTCCCGACAAGACGGCAGAGCACCACGCGCACATGTTCTGGCTGTGTGGCAGAGCAGATGTGGGACCTTGAGGGAAGGCGCACAGAGAGGGCCAGCACAGTGGCCACATGGGAGGAGGCTGGTGCTGGGGTCCAATCCACTGAGTGTCACCCACCCCGTGCTGCCAGCTGGGGAGGGACCAGTGACTGCAGGACACCCAGAGGTATTGGGGAGGGGGGTCTGTCTTTGCACCCTGTCCCAGCCACATGGTGCACACTGGCTGCAGGCGCTGCTGGATCCAGACCTCGGATGTGATATCGTGGGGAAGCGGCTCCGTCCAGCTCAGGTCGGCACCCCTGCACCCTCTGCACGGTCGGGGAGGGCCTTCCACAGCCACTGGGACACCCAGTCACGACCTCCTCCTGCCCAAGGTTCCAGAGGCGGCACCCCAAAGGACCCTGCGGGTTCTTCCTGGCCTGCCTGGCTCCAGGGAAGTGCCGTGTGGCCCCTGGGCCACAGAGAAAAGGAAGGGCAGTGAATGAGTGGCTGGAAGCCTGGTCTGCAGCAGGGGGCCTGGGCCGCTGACCTGGGCGTGGGGAGAAGGCGGGCCTGTGTGCCAAGGTCCAGAGACACTCAACAGGGTGCCTGGGGGAAGTCACGGTGCCTGTGTCCTGTTCTGCTCTGTAGAGAGTGGACCGTGCCGCCTGCTTGATGCGGCTGCTTGAGAACTAGGTGGGGTTAGGTAGGGGAAGTTCCCGAATCCTCCAGGAGCATGATGCCAGTGCTACACTGTTGCTGGGTACAGAGGATCAATGTACACTCGCCGGCCCCACAGCACCCTGGGCCAGCGTGTTTATGGGCCACGTCACCAGCCCTTCCGTAAACGGCCAGTACGTCCAAGTGCCGCCCTTGCCGTTAGCATTGTACCCACCAGAGCCTCTCCTGAACCGTAAACGGAAAACAAAAGCCACCGCCATCCAGCTGGACTCCTGGAGCCTGCCGCCGACTCACCGGGACCGCGTGCAACAGGAGGCGTAGAGATGGCTATGTCTGCACCCGTCCCAGCAACCTCCCTGTCATCCCCCTCCGTGGCCTGCCTCTGTCTCACTGACCCGTACCAAGCAGCATGTCCTTTTCCGGGACTGGCCTCTCCTGAAGGAGCCCTGGGAGCATCCTCAAGGTCAGCAGTTGAAGGCCACCAGCTTCTCTACGGGAGAGAGACCGGGCTCTCTCTCCCGTAAAGGGTCGCAGTCACAGGGCAGTTCTGCCCTGGCCTGTAGGGTCGGCGTGGACCCAGGGCAGGGAGTTTGGGTTTGGGGTTTTGATCTCTCCTGATACCATGTCCAGAGCCCGTGAGACAGTCTCACAATCGTGGCTTCCAATTGTACGTCCTTCCTGCAAGACAGACGTGTTTGTCCTTCCGGCGCCCTCTGTTGTTGCTTTGGGGGGGACCCCAAACCCAACAGAGCAAAACCCTGCTCGTCCTGTGCTCCCAGTCTGGCACCCAGTGTGGCAGCCGCCGTGTCCGTCCAGTTCCCGGAGGGCCTTCCTCGTTGTCGCTGCCCCTCCGCTTTACCCAGCATGACGACCCCTCTCCTGACAACGCGTCCAGAACCTGTGAGGCGAAGTCTCCCCATCCCTGCCCTAGGGAGCAGCTGTCTGACTGCCCTTCTCCCCAGACAGACTTGTTCTTTGCCCCCCCCCCCCTT